AAAATAAAAGTACTAACGATGGTTCACAAATATTGCATTTGTGATAATAGGCCATAGTCGTTTATATAGAAGTATTTGATATTGTCTAAAATATATTATGAGGACACTCAAAAATGTCTCTGGTCCCAAGAGTAATAATAAACCACTTAAATACAAACGCTGTTGTTAAAATATTTTCTTGTTTTAAGTGGTATTTTTGCATAATTTAATATACGAGTATGAATTATATAACTTATTCATGTAGATATAGATAAACGGATTCAGAGGTCTTAATTATAGAACGCTATAGTTGGTCGATAGCCAAAGTTTTTTTTTTTATATTTAAACTTTGCTTGATAATTAAACCTTTGTTTAAATTAATTTGGAAAATCAAATTATATAGTTTGTAATTTGTATGGTTAAAACAATATAATATTTTTTTGTTGAAATGTGAATATATTTTGGATGATGAGTATTGGAATATTCAAAAAGGAATATTAGGTGGGCTGTGAAGATATTTTATGGCAGTTGTAGATAGTGTGGGTAATATGATAAACCATAGGGTTATTGTTGAGTGTTCAGGCGGGAAAGGGGATAATTTAAAGAACGTATGAAAAAATGAAAGGGACGTTAGACGTGATCAAATCGGAGGCGGGAAAACGATGTTATAAATTATATGTAAATATTTAGTTTGTAAAATCAGGCTTAGACTTCCAAAGTAATTATGTTTTTTTTTTATAGGTAATCACAAAATTTAGCTTCTAAATATTTACTAATTGAGGTTATTATTGCTAATTATATATTTTATACTTGGCAGTTATTTAAACTCTAAAATTAAATTCAGTGGTTATAGATATTATATAATATGACACGAATAGTTATTTACCTCAATTGTATACTTATTCACTAATATCACTAATTTGTGATTGTAGTATGAAACAGCTGGAAAATGGCCGAATGCCAATGGTGTAGCTAAATTGCCTATTCAGGATGCCGTGTCATCTGATTAATCGAAAATGATGTTTAGTGTATATCTACCTATTAATTGATCTAAACATAATATTATATAATAATATACCGAATATTTAGTCTATTGGTTTTCCGAATAATTAGGTTCTATTATAACAGTGCGAACAATATATTAAATGTATACATTGTGATATAATTTTAGTTTACATGGAATATTTATTTAATTTTTTAGTAGATACATTTTATAATATATTTTATTAATTTTGCAATATAAATTAATATCACTTCTCGTACTTGGTGTAAAAATAGTTTTAACTTATCATACGTTGAATTGTATAGTGCTATTTTCCTCCACTACGTAAAAAATAAATACCTACATAAATACAAATACATATGTTCAAGTAAATTGGATTCGTATCGAGTTTGTGGAAAATTTCCTGGAAACACTCGTGTAAACAAAAGCAGATGTGGATCTATAAAACTGGAAAAATTGCATTTTTTTAGAAAAAATACAATTATAATCTTAGTTCATAATATACTATAGATAAGATTTAATAATAATATTAACAATTTTATTTATATTTTAAATGTATAGATCTCAAGACTATTGACGACTATCTTAACTATCTACTATATAAATAAATACATAATACTTTGCATTTTTAAAGGGGAGAGGGATAAAGCTTCTTAGCTCTCCTTTGACGAGTAATAATATTATGAACGATTGAATAAATGCTTTTAAATATATATATTTAGGATATATTTTGTGGTGTGATTTCCGCTTTTATGCGATGCGCATAATATACGTATTTGGATCGCGTATTTATCATTGTCATTACATCTGGGATATTATTGGCGGCGGCGTGTTTATTGATACCTACCTCTGATTGGAGTTTGAATTGAATTTTACGATATTTTTTGAGAAGGTAAACAAATGTTCAGCTGGTTGGTGATATTTTAGGTAGGTATATATTCGTAACTGAGTGGGTAGGTATTTTTATTTTGTTTTTATCACATCTCACCACCGTAACACATGATACGATTTTATTGCCGTACAAACACCAGTGTCAGGCAACGATCGCATGCTGGAACGCATACATAATATTTCACGGATAACTGTTTAAAACACGACACCGAGAAGAACTATATTAAATGACAAATTGCAAAAAACAATGCGAAATTGATGACGTAATGTGACTCACCACTCCTGTTTATTATTAATAGTATCCCAAGAGACGACGAATGTGCGTGAGCGTATTCATCCATTGGTATCGGCGGCACATCTATAGAAAAATGATTGATACGGCAAAATTGCGTCGATTAAATTAAATTGAAATCGACGAATTTCACGAGTCACAGGCTTGCGTAGTAAATTTTCATTTTCATTAATAGTGTAAAGTATTTTTAAAACCATTCAATAAAAATGAAAGTTTGGTTATCTGCTGAAAATAGTTGGTAATTATAAACAACATAAATGTATAGCAATAAGTATTAACAATTTTTGTAAAAAAATCATCCCATCTCGACATTTGCCGTGCCACTCGCACCCCGAAGAAGTAAAAACGAAGTCCCCAGTTCAAATCAATAAGAAATACCGTCATACGCCGAAATCATGTTTAGCGAAGTACCACCTGATCAGCCTCTTCACATCATAATCAAATTTTTCGACGAATTAATAACTATCATTAACTCCTTTCTAATTGCCTTAACTTCCTTATCAAACAAAATCTTAGTCTCCATTATTTACACTCCATAACACACATCACATTTTTCGTACATATATAACACATTTATTTAATAATATTAAACAAACTTATTGTAACATGTGATATGTTGTTACATTTTAATTTAAATAAATGATAAGTAATTTTTATGTCAAAATCTTTGTTAAATTAACGTTGGTGGGTATAGAAAAGAAGAATATTTTACTAAGTTACTTTTTTATGAGTTTTATATTGAAACGTTATACATATATTGTTTTTTTCTATTTTAAACATAATTATACGGTTTTTACTGTTACTCGTCTGTTTATGATAATATTATTAGTGAATACTATATTATATTATTTTTAGTATATCATTATGAATTGATTTTTTTAATATTTACGATTATTTATTATTATGTCTGAAGTGTAGAAGTTCAAGTTTTCCTAATTTTTAGAATCCCCTTAAATATTTTATAGCAAAAATACTAAATAAAAAAAATTTACTTTAAAAATATTTTTGTTAAAATTATACTGAATTGAGTATTTAATGTAAAATTATTGCGGAAATAAATGTAAAAATGTTATGTTTTATAAATATAATGTGTACAATATTATAAATTATAATGTATTACAAACGTGTAAATGATAATCACTAAATCGTAGATTATCTTATTTTATAGTCAATGATTACCATTAGTATTCTGTTCTACTTTCAGCGTAGTGTGGTTATTTTATAATGTATACATATCTACTCTACTGATAGAAATAGAAAAAAATAATTATTATTGAGATTTACGGTTAAACTTATACTTGGTAAATACAGTTTACCTTAAATATAAATTGTTTTTATTCTTTGCTAGTTTTTAATTTTCTTTAATGTATTCACTTATGAGAGCCGCCTGCAACAACCCTTCTGTTATTTAAATCACACTGTTATACCACGACAAAACCTGACGGTATAAAGATTTTTTTCAGAATCGCGTGTTTCTTCGTGTGATCGCGGTTTTGGTTCTGTAATATCAAAAATAAAAAATTAGTTTTATCGTTCTTCATCTAAAATCTACCGCGTAAAGAAATGTATGTGCTGAATTGCAATTAATTCATCGTGTTACACGCATTGAGTAGAAAATCAAAAGATTTTATTAAGTTTTGTTTTTTTCAATCATGACCGATGACAATGCTTATTAGGTAAAATTACGCAAATCATACGATTCATATAGTAACTCGTTATAATTTGATACGATGTTAAAACTTCATATCCTATAACCTTAATTTCTCTTCGTTATAACGATGTCCTGTCAAAATACAATCTCGTGTTGTAAGTTTTATCAGACATACTAGATTTATTATGATCCTTCAGACCATGTGTCGTCACCGGGTTTTGTAAAGGAGGAAAACGCGTGTTTGATTACCTATTCGTATAGGATACAAACATTTATAAAGATTTCTGGAAGACACTAAGTTGTTTATTTATATTATACGCTACATAGACATTTGTTTGACAGCATTCGACCCCTGAACTCCGCGTCACATTCTTGATTAGGGTCTTTGTATATTTCTTGTTTTTGTACGTGCAAATAAAAACACGTTCTCACACGCATTTCTGTGAAAGGCAAAAAAAAAAACAATCTATCATGGTCGGAAACAAATATTTTTTGACTTTTTTTATTTTAATCGACTCTTCAAAGTGCTTGACTCTTATATAGGTGTATAAAATACATAATATTACTTTTCGAAACAATTAAAATATCGGCACACATCTTTTGGTTTCATAAAACGGAAAAAAAAAATTAAACATATTACATACATAATACAATTAAAATCATCTCTAAACTATTTAGTGGTATAATACGTTACGTAGTTGAATAATTTTTGTTGTATACAACACATTTAAATGCAAAACGTCAACAGCGTTATTGAATACAAAAAATATATATAAATATTGAATAATGTAAAACTGTTAACCCTTTAACCGACCGTTGACTATGGTAGTGGAGAAAACGCAGTAAAAATAATATGCGGTAGTAGCGTATAATATAATATAATAATAATTGTAATTAAATATAATATGAACAGGACATATTTTTGTAGTTTTAAGTCAGTTGAGTCGATCAATTAGTTAAACATAAAGGAAGAAAACGAAAAACAAAAAGAGCTACATACGACTTACTATCTCGTTTTTGACTGACAACGTTTCGTGAATGTTAGTTTTAAAATGATTTGTAACAATAATATTTATATTATTGAAATAGTAAGTATCATTTTTTTTTTTTTTTTTTTTTTTTACAATTTTTATCCACATAATAATAGTAGTAATAATAATAATAATAATAATAATAATAGCGCGTTAACAAAAAAAAAAAAAAAAAAAATTATAATTACGAAATTTGATTTAATTATAATTGCCTAATAGTATACAACACTGTAACGAAAATTTATAATAATAAAATAATAACCAATAAGTAATAGTTCTGAAAATGAAAACAAATAATAATATTATTGTTCGTTGTATATAAATCCTATACGGATAAGGATACGAAGCTGTTATATTGTGTGATGTTCCTTTTTAATATGTCAGCACATGGACCCAACACTCTTTCAAACCTGAAAAAAAAGTGAGAATACGTTTAATTTAAGAATTTAATTTCGTACGTATTTGGTGACAATTCCACGTCTATCACAATACATACGTACGTATTATAATAATAATAATAAGTCATTTTACTATGATATTATATATTTTTCACCAAGGATACTTTAGAAGCCAAGTTTTTCTTCATTTTTGTCGTCGTTTTTTACAAACATTTTTAAAACATTGATCATAGTATAACCTTTATAATTATAATGAAATTGTTTTTTTTTTTCATTACTTATAAATCATAATGCAGAAAAATATATGAGAAATATACTTTTTAGTTCATAATTGAGTTAAATATTCTACAATAAATGCAAATTGTAGGCGTTAAAGATATTGTTTTTTTATCATGACTGTTGAAAATTGAATGAAACATTAAGTATTTTTAGGAAAACAAGTCAGTAAATTGATATATTGTAATAGAAATATGAAAAAAGTGTAGTTTAGTTATTAATTTGAGAGAAGTTTTTATTGTGATCGATCGATTAGATGGCAAATTTTTGTTACTGACTGTTATCACAAGTGAAATTCAATACACTAATGTTTGTTCTATTATATCTTAAAGACTCGCCTGGCTTGTCTTTTTAAGCACCAAGTCTATTTGTTTAGGGGAAACGTTATATTTTCATGATACATTATCAAGCATTTAGGTGATTTTAATGGGTAGGATTTATATCAAATAACAATAAAGTGTGATAATTGAACTGAATATACAGTTGAGTTAGTCGTGGTAATACCTAACCAATTATTTGATAAAATTTCAAATAATAATTGGAAAAACTTGAAATGTAAAGTATAAATAATTTCCACCAAAAGTAAAATATAGATTAAATAAATACTTTATTTATATGCATTATAAGTAATTATTTTAAGTATCGTTATAGAAATTAATTTTACCAGTGACAGAACTATAATACTATTTATGTTTGTTTAGTAATTTTTCGACAATTTTTTTACATACTATTATATATTACGTATTATATTACATATTGTTCATATACAGAAATTTGAAACTTACAGTTAGTGGATATATGTAATATGACACGTACACAATTTTAATATTATAAATCGTTTTTCATAGTTGCAGTAAAAATTCTAAAACATTTTTTGAAGAATGTCAACATTTTACTGCGTTGTTTTCCGTGTTCTCGGTACATATTGTACAATTTTCTACTTGGAAAATCAGTTTTAATTAATGAATTCACTTCCGGATTTTTGTAAGCGTCAGGTCGTTTACAGATTTTACTTACTGGCACTCGGTAGATAGGGTAAATAGCGTACAGGTAAAGTTTTTCCAGCAAGGAAAAACAATAAATATTCTGTGTGCATAGATAAGGTAAACTGCTTAATTAAATAAATTATTATTTAATACGCGAAAGTAACTGGCAGTGGAGTGCATTAGATTATTTATATCGTATTGTATATTACTTATGAAATATATACGCATTAATTAAGTCATAGATGTTTAAATACGTTGTTTAGACAGGAAACTTGTAGCGAATTTATTCATTTTATTTTATCCGTATGCAAAAGTACCTATTTTCAATAAATGAATGTTAGTCTAAAGCGGTTATAATTAATTAAAATTAAAGATATTAAAGGAAAAATAACAAAATATATTTTTAGAAAGTACTATAAAGTGTATCTTATTTTATAGAATATAAAAATAATATTTTCAAAACATTTTTAATCGTTAAAAATATTTAAATTTGTCAAAATATATTCATTAAATATATAATTATACTATACTCGATTTATAATTTATGCATAGTTTATTGCTCTTTCAATTAAAAATTCAGCTTTAAATATCAAATATAAATAGATAAACATTTAAAGAGAAAATAGTGGTACTAAAAGCATACAAAACAATGGAAATTCGACAATTTTAGATTTTAATAAAAGCAATTTAAATTGAAGAATCAAAAATCGATTTTATTTTTTGAACTAGAAATGTATATTATATTTACACATAATAAATAATTGCAACTAGGGGATGTTATTAAACTCGTTAATAATAAATACCAGAGCATATTACAGATTATTTTTACAATGCAAATACATCATACACATCATATTATTATTATTTGTATTTATAGAATAAATAACTATACTGTATTTACTAACTGATGAATTAAGGAAAATTCTACGAATGGCCGCATATTGAATTGATTACACGCCGTGCAAATAAAATAAAATAAACTAAAAATTATGTAAAATTGTATTATATTAACATGATATATGATTAAGTACCATTAAATTATATTAAAATATTTAAGAGAAATGCAAAAATAACAAAACTGTAAACATTTAATTGAGACGGCATGTGGTTTTAAGTGAATAAGGCAATAAAAAAGTTTTCCATATTAAAAGTGAAATATGTCTATACCCCACAAGATGGCAAAACAAAACTTTTACTTTGAAGTTAAAGAAATTGCCTGAGTGTAACAAATAAATATTATGTTAAACTCAAGGTTTTGAATTCGTTTAAAGTTAAATTTAAAATTAGAAAAGTGATAATGCAGTATTCATACCATAAAATATATAGCTCTAAATCTATGTTATATCACAAAAGATTTAGTATATAAATCTATTGTTGGAGTTATCTTAAATAATATAATGTGCTATACGATGTCCCAGGAGAGGGGTACGCGAATTCTATCACAGATCACATTTAAATTTTTAACCCCACGAGGTTTTTTTAAAACAATTTTTTAACGCGTAAGTACCGCGTCGAACCGCATGCAGAGTTGTCCCGGGATAATATCATTAAATATTACTTCAACCCTTAGTGCATTCTTTTTGTACAATAAGGGCTAAGGTACATACAATTTTAATCACGATATTACCATTTAATTGCTTGACGTACTATTTAATATTCATCGGTACATTATAGTTTTCTGTTAGTAATTGGATTGATGGTATTTGTGACCCCAATAAAACTATGGAAGGTAAAAATGTGAAAAGTCATCCATAGAACCATTTTATCATTTCGCGCTTTGTTCATGACATTGACTAAAAAATAATTTCAACAAATGGTGTGGATCTAAGTGGCGATTACCAAATCTCATATAAAATATACCCATAATTTTAGGTTGTCGTATTTTCTCAAAACATACATGGTATATATATAAAAGTATGTTAAGAAGTATACTATTCAACATAAAGTTGAAAATTACAAAAGAAGAATCAAATCTAAATTACGTTGACTTATATAAACACGCAATGGATTACATTGAACTTTCGAACAAAATATATTTTAAGAGAATGGAATATAAATCGTTTTGTATGGTTAAAATCCTTAAACTGAACTACAGGAAATGTTCACAATGGAAAAAAACCTAAATAATTCTCAGAGACAAGATTATATTCTTTTTTGTAGTAAAAAGCTTTTAGTAAAGTATAATTCAAGGAAACCTGTACATATTATGGTTTTTGTAAATTGTATTAGTTTATTTTTTCAATAGAGGTTTATAAGTAAACGAATTATTGAGTGAATACTGTCACTAAACACTGAGCAAGGAAAAATGCGATTATGTGTTGTAAATCTACAAAACCATACAAGGAAGTTAAAATATTATAAATAAAAAAATAAAAATAACAATATCGACTTATTAATTTAAAATTAACTGACCCAAATCTATTCAATTATTTAGTGTTAAGTAAAAATAAAATAAAAGTAATTTAGACTGAAATTTATTTTTTTACTACTTTTTAAAAATTATTTGACTTGATTTACACCATGTTCAAAAGAGTTTTTATTTTAAAATATTTAAGACTCAAAAGAGTATTAAAATCAATCATTAAGACGATAAATGTATAAATAAATATTTTAAATAATAATTTGCTCAACACATAGAACTTTCGTCCAATTACATACATTATAAACTACGTACCTACATTGAGTATAATATACAATTCAAAAAATTGAAACATTGTAAGTCATATCGTAAAATACGGTCTTTTATATTATATTATTATTTCAAACGACTCAAACGCACAACGTTGTCTGGAAGCTACTCAGTACTCAATATCATATCTTTCGGAGATCAATGTCCAGACAGACTTTTAAGCTTTTAAAGAGTTCTGTGGCGCACTACGTATAACACACAAGGGGGCTTTTAATAGCTCTCTGATATCCGGCAAACGGAATTAATGGATTTTACCGGAGAGGATAAATTACATAGTATTATTATACATTACCTAGCCCGATCGAGTTTCACACACTTCAGCGGACCATTGGCGATGACAGTTGCTGCTCTTGGACGGTCTAGTAACAGTGCAATTTCGCCTGTAACAGAATTTTTAGGATATTGTAATTATTAGTGACGTCGATCAATTAGTCAGCGGCGTTAAAGATGTTGTTGCGCGCATTTCAATCAATGACACGAATAAACAGCGTTTTTACAACTGCAATCGATATCGGGCGCTTAAGGTCCGATCGAGCCGAGTCTCCGGTGGACAATAATTCGACAATCGTTTGGGAAGTATACAAATTGAATGCATTAGACGCGTCGTAAATATCCGTGGCGGCCGTATACAAAGGATGGGAGATGTTACGGGCAATAGGCAATAATTTGTAACGAGAGCAATTTTTCATCACGGCCGGGTCCGAGTTTCAATTGACGCAGACGGCGAAAGGTTTTTCGGATGATTTCGTAACATTTCACCGTAACCGTAGAACTTTGGGCGGATGGAGATCAGCATTTGTACGTACGCTTAGCCGGATACCGACGAAAACTCTCGATAATCCGGTGTGTGCGTGACAAGAGTTTCAAATTTATTGGATTCGTAGATGACGTACACGCGTATATACATATATGCAATAAGATGTCAGACCGTGAGTGTTGACATTTACCAATAATTTTGGGTCATAAATAATAATTAGAGATACAAATATAATATATAGATAGAATAGACTAAATAATCGAACATAGATAAATAAATAGTTTTATATAATAGTAAATTTATTATGTCGTAATTATTTTTTATTTATTTACTACAACACAGTAAGTTGTCGTGAAATTATAGCAGCAAAGTATCCCACAGTTCTTGTAACTGCTTTTTTTTTTCGTGTCACATTTTTTTCTTTCAATGACATATAGACCCTCGACCACCACGAAATATTGCTATAGAACGATAACGTATTAATATTTAAAACTATTGAAAATATCAACTTATAGTATCGCGTTTCAAGTGAAATCAAAATTTACCAAACACTAATAATTGTAAATGTCAACAATCGCCCTGGTGTATGACTATGCGTGGACTGTCAACGTTCACGTAATATTATTAGATCGTACTCATTGAATCACTATGTAAATAGGGTGGATTAGCTTAGAATTATTATTTTCATTGCACCCAGTTTTTAGCACAATTATTGATTATATAAATAGTATTACATTATTTAATATTTATAAATAATGGTACAATACATATTACATTAACAAAAATACATTTCGAGCATAATCAACACCAATGTGATCCTTAATATAAATTATAATTTATCGACGGCATCAAATGCCGTGGAATCTATTGGGATCCTCAGGAGTAACGATAGACTTATTATTATTATACAACTTTTGCAGGTCACTTTTGCATATACGTATAAATATTGCACGTGTATGCACGTCCATACCGGTGCATTATATCTGAGTGGGCAAGAAGTATGTGTGCGGTTGGGTAAAAAATATAAAAAGCGTGGAGAAGAGTGGGGTTAGAGGAAAGACTAGAGTGGAGTCAATAATTTTATTTCTAACCACTCTCGGTCCTTTTACTTCATCGTTCGAGTTTCGCTTCTCGCAAAACGTAAACCGCTGGCGGTCTCGTTAACTCGAGTGCGTTATCGTCGCAAGTACCTATACATTTTTATACTCATAGTATATATGTATATATTTACAGAGTATACAATATAAATAAAATATAGGAGGAAAATATACATACCAAAATAGTCAGACGGCGCGAGTCTGCCGACTTCGATCATACTCTCTCCTTCGACCCTCTGCTGCAGGACGAGCGCCGTACCTTCAACGATTATATAAAAATCGTCTCCTTGTTCGCCTTGTCTGACAATTGTTTCACCGTCATCGAATGATACGGGTTCTAAGGCATCCGCTACGGTCAGTCTCTCCCATTTGTCTAGACTTTCTGCAAACACACACATACACATACAGGTGTAAGATTTATCAATAGATTAATTTAAAAACAAGTAAATAGAAATTAATTACATTTTTTTATCAACTCTTAATAAAAAATAACATAATTTTCTATATTACGGTTATCATGACATTAAATTTAATAATTAGAATATTAGAGTTTTTGTATTTATTATTAGAATAGTGTAAACACAATTAAAAAAAAACAAAAAAAAAAAAACAGGAAAGTTGTTTAGCTGTATAGGTGATTTCAAGTGTAAATGTATCTCGTTTTTGAGTAGATTATTTTAAGGGACGTTTTAAATTAAATCCAATAAGAAAATATTGTGTTAATTTTGATGCAACACGATATTTAAAGTATACTACTGTACACCTCTATTTTTAAGAAATATTCATATTCATTTATATTATTGTCAGTAATTTATTTTTTTACTAAAAGTAATATGGTAGATTGAACTAATTTTTGACATCGTATATCATGAATATTAACTGATAAGTCTATTTCAACGCGTGACGTACAATAGAATTGTGTAAATACGAATATCTGTAGTATAAATAGCTTAAAATCGGATTAAATGAATATAAAAGTATTGCGTACAAAGAAAACATTAATATAAACAATTGGTGAAAATTTCAAATTTCAGCAGTTAATATTTGTCAAATAACAGTAAAATAACAAAAACAAGTTTGAGGAGATATCGTTATTTTACGTTAAGCTTAAATAAGTTTCGTCTAAATTAGAGTTTATAATTCTTATTAAAAATAATTGTGGATAAGTGTACCTATTTTTAATATTTGGTTCTGTTGTAAAAATGACTTATAAAAAGAATTATCTATAAATGTATTAAATTATCTAAGCTTTTTGATTTGGAAATAAAATGTTATCAATATAAGTTCATAAGAATTTAAAATTTAAGATACTTATTAATATCTCAAAAAGAGTCAAAATTATTTAGAAAATATTCAATATACATATGAGAAATGGGCACTAATGGGAAAATTTGGTAATAAATTCAAGTTTTTACAGTTGTTCAATTTTAAATAATAATAATAAAAAAAAAAAAAATCGACTTTGACAAATACTTGTGATGTGTAATTATTTTTGATTTTTTTTTACTTTTTTTCTTAATTATTTAAAAAAATTATTTGGTAGTTTTTATTAGTGATTGTAAACTAAATAAAATTGCCTACCAAAAAGTATTTTTCCCGCATAAAGCGTCCATCGTCGACCGCACACCCGTAAGCAATATAGATAGATATATGCATACGCATATTATTAATGGAATAGTAATTAATGGTTCGAATAAAGTGCTGAAACGGCTATATATATAGACGTATTTTAATATATTTTCAAAGCGCCCTGTCGTACTATGTTGATAGTTATCAACCATCTACACACATTACCGATGTATTATGCCCATATCGCACAGGCATTTCGCTTTCAGTGTAATTTTGAATGAACAGAGTTTAATCAGATAACAGTAATAATTACTGTTGGTAAATATCGACGTTGACTGACAGTATAATATAATTAAAAAAAATTATACGGAGAGTGACTTCTGAGGAGATGGGCAAAAAAGTACAAATTAAACGTTTTCAACGACTGTGCGATACATGAAATATGTTTTTGACGGATTTCAGTAGTAAAAATATTCACAAATTGTACGTAGTTTTTATTTTTATTTACATGTTTGTAAATGAAGTTTATTTAGTAAGTTGTATTTGAAAAATTATAATTTGGTTATTTTTTTTTCGTGTTAGCTAATATGTTATATGTTAAAAAAAAAAAAAAATTCTAATGCACGAAACTTTCAACGCTAAAATACCTCATTAACAATTTTCAAGAATTCTTTATAGCAATTTTGACTATGGTTTAATTTTGTTCAGACAAATCCACCAACGTTTCAATAACCGCATTTTGAAATAAAGATCACGTTCAGGACCCGTATAAAACTAGCTAGATTTAACATCTCTTATTTAGTTTCCCCGTAGGTAATATCAACTAAAGTTAATAAAACTCTCGGGTTTATATAGTTTCTACATACAACTAAAAGTTTAATAAATTTTTCACGCGCTTCTCCGTAGTTTATATTACGAGTATTGTATATTTTTATAAATATCTACAAATTAAACGGTGAATCTAAATTGTTGTTGTTTTTAGTACATTGCATGCGGTCTGTGAAAAAAAAATATTCAGTAAATTCGTTTAAAATAAAATCTAAGTCTAGAAGTACCTAATTATTACCGAAGAACAGACAATATTTTGATTAAAACTAATTTTATAAAAATCAAAAAGATAATAATAGCGGAAAAACCTTTAATTTTTACACATTTCATTAACTCGTAATTAAAGATATTACGCATTTAAACATATTTTCGAAGATTATAAAGAACACCATAAACTTAGTATAGATTTTTGATTATTAAGAAAAAAAAAAAAAAAAAAAAAACCAGCGCAGATTAATAACAGATTTTTTTAACATGATGGATACCAATATCAAGAAATATATAAGACGATAACATTGTTTGTGAGTAGGTTATACACAAACATTTTTATTTATTTCGATAATAAACTTGAAACATTTCAATAAATATGGTCACTTCGGCGGAGTTTAGAAAAAATAACATAAGCTAAATACTAGCTGGAGTATGTACAGTATGTATAAACACTAACTGACCTAAAATTAAACTATATTATTATTGGGCTATGTGGTTGGTAAATAGAAAACCATAATTGATATTATTGAAGTGCTAAATAAATCAATAATCACGAGTTTTGATTCAAACGACGGAGCATTAACAGCCATTAATTATAAATTAGATTTATATAATAATTGTATGTTTTGAATTTTCCCTCAAGGATCTTTCACAGATTTCCGAACCTGATATTGTGTATAAATTGAAATATCAAAGCGAATCGGTGTATGGTCGGAACATGCTTAAAAACTCAAAAATGTGTATGAGCGAAATTATGTATTTCTTTAAAAATAAATGCAAGTAATTATCTATCAAGCATAACAGTCAAAAGATAAGGGTATAAAATGGTTAATTTTTATAAATTATTATTTCATTTACTTACACTATCAAATAGTACTGATAAGATTTATAGCAGGAATAAAAAATAAAATTAGATTTAAAAAAAAAAAACTTGTATCATTATGATACATTGTATTGTACAGGTACATAATTATAAAGATATAACACACATTTAGAATAATACAATTTAAATAATATTAATGAATAAATTATGTAGTTTGTGATGGAAATATGTTGAAAATGATTTTGTTTACCTAAATCTTAGTACTACTTATTTTAAAATGTTGTTTAACATTGTAAATAAATTAATATCTGATATTTACGAGTAATATAACTATCCATTCATAAGCATAATATGCGTTATAATTTGGTAATTTAATATTAAATTTAAGTTTCAAATTTGTAAAAACGATTAATCAACTTTATCTTTGTTTAAGAGCGTACATTTAATATACAAAGTAAAGCATGTGTGAAAAACTAGTAGATACAATGTAAAAAAAAATATATATATATATATTTATTTTTTTAATGATTTAAAAACTTAGTTGTTGATAACAATTTTTAAGCAAAGTGTTCATAATAATAAAAAAAGTATTTTACACGTATACTAAGTATGTTTGGGATTTGTTTTCATATATCTATTAGATTCTTGCTATTTTTTATCATTATACAAAATCATTAATCATAAAAGGTGTTTTATGCGCAAACTACATCATATTGTTCTACGGAATTAAAATAATTATTTTCATTGTATACACAAGGTTTTGTTGTTTTTGCCTACCACGAACGAAAAAAATATCTAAAAGACGCGCGAATGGTTCCGTTTTTAATATTTATTTTCCGGAGTAAACCATTATAATTATGTTTTTCTCTTTTTTTTTATTCGTCGTGGTCATTAGTCTTTACTCTTTAACAAAGATGAATAGATCTATTTTTTAAATGTAGAACATTCGGGATACGATACTCTTTAATTACATTCTACCCATCCTTTTTTTAATACTGTGTAAATGAAAGGTAAATTTCCCACTATCATTAATGAGGGTTAAAAATACAATTGATTTTAATCAATACTAAGTGAACAAATCTGGATCAAGGTTTTAACAAGCCAGTAATAATAATCTTGACATTTAAAATGTAAAAAAAAAAATATAACAGCACTTTTGGCAATACCATTTTCATTTTTATCGTTGACTGTTGGCATTTAAAAAAAATCGTCAATTATATGGCATATTAGCCAGCCATTTATATGTTCGGTCAAGTTTCATAAAACATTTAGTAAGTTTAATACTTTATTTAATACATTTGACAGATAAGCTCTAGTTTTTTTTATAATCTATATAAAAATATATTTGTACAATTTTATTATGTATTATGTACTTGGCAAGAACTTTTTCAAAGTTTTTTATTTTATTTGAAATTTGAGTTATAATTGTTAAAATCAAAAACTATAATATTTTTGCACTTAGTAAAAATAATGTAATTTCTAATAAATTATAATCTCAAAAAAATAAAATAAATATTGTTTATTATTCAATAAAATAATACATAACTTGATAATATAATTAATTGAAACTTTTTAAATGATTATTTGATCAAATTTTTTGTAAATAAGTATGTTAAATATTAATGTTTAAATTCTTATTATTTTCAATGATTATTATAATCGACTATTACTTTTATATGGGGCTTCAATAGACGTGTTTATTGAATACGTGATTGTGAAACAAATAAAATATTTATTTAGATATTCTTTTTAAATAAATTCGATTTTTTTTAAAATCCTTTAAATTATATATGATGTGTTGAAAAAATTCTAACAATGTTTACAATACGTGAACAAACAAAATTAGTATTTATAATGGATAAAGGAAAAACCAGAGTTAAACAAATTATTAGGCACTACACAGTTTATATAATGGTAAACTTCCATAATATGTCTATACTCGTTTGAGAGTT